CAAAATTAATATTATAGATCTCATCTTAAAAAATGTTCCTAATTATGAAATCATAAAACTTATAACCCCTAAATCATGTAGAATGACCAAAGTAGTTGCTTATTGTTTTATAATGTAATTTCTCCTCATATGTCCTAACTTATTACAAAGAGAACAACCATTTATAATATATTATTGTCTTTTTGAGTTGGACCCTTAACGACTACATTCTAATTTTATTTTTGCCCTTATCTTTATATGCACTTTTCAAGTGAGTACTTTTTAACTTATTATGCTTCAACCTTTTTTACTCTTGCACGCAATGAAAAATGAGCTCATTTAGAGTTCATTTCTCCCTTGAGTTGATTAAACTCTATAGGAAGTGATACTGAAATCACAAGAACAAGTAATTCTTTAGAAAAACTCGATCTTAAGTGTCTTAAGTCTTGAAGCAATATGAAACATATCCATAATGTACTCACTCACATTTCCTTAACCCTTATACTTTATAGACATCAAATAAGTCAAAATTGATTCATTTAAACCTTATTGTTTTTGGTAAACATTTTTTTTAATTTTGTTAAGGAAACCATTAGCCTTAGTAATTTTTCAGATTATGTACCCTAAAAGCTTCTAAAATATTTTACTTCATGACCACTAAACTTATGCAATTTAAACAAATTTCACCTCTCAATATCCAATTAAGAATTATATTCCACATGAGAGGTGGAAATTATTATTTCCTTAGTGCAAAGTCTATGTTCATAGAACCAAAACCTTTTATAAGTGTATTTTCTCATTCATTGAAATTTGTCCCATTAAACATGGGAATAAAATTAATATTAGCAGAAACTGTGACAACAAAAGAACTAGATGAACAAAATAAACAACAAGCTCACATAAGCAAACAATAAATTCAAAATAATGTCTCATTCCCATCACAAGATATCAAACACTACATCAATATCAAGTCTTTGGATAGTGGTATCAACAGTAAATGGTACTCTTGTTGTAGTAATAAAAAACTAACAATAAGCTATGTCAAACAAAAGATTAATCTTTTGACTAATGTAATGCTCACATAAAAAATACCTTATAATTGTCACATGTTATTTGTAACATCCGCAATACCGGGTTAGTGACTAAATTGAAAAGTTTCAGAATTTGGTGATTAACGTATAAGAATGAAATAATTTAATGATTATTGGAAATATATGATGAAGGTTATTTAGTAATTATTAAAGGAAATTAAGGGTTAAATGGTCATTTGACCAGAAAGATTTTATCTTTCTTTTAAAGGTGATATAAACGTGGGAAATGAGAAACATCCAGAGTTCTCTTCTCCTTTCTTCTTCTTCATACGTGGGAGAGCAAGGCAAAGGTGAGAGTTTTATTAGTTGATTATTATTTGAATTTTAAGTTTGGTTTTGATCTTTAGTTGATGGATAAACTTAAAGAAAGCTTGGGTTACGGTAAAATCAAAGAATGGAGGGGTTAAGGGAGATTAAAGATTTGGAGTTTTTATATGAAATTTTGGAAAAGAATTGATAAGTAGAATTTGAAGTTAAATTTGACTTGTCAATAGTTAAATTAAGAGATTTGGAGTGATATAAAGGAATTTAGAACATGTTGAAATTTGAGTATGATTATTGAATTTCATAAGAGGAAAGGTTTTTGAGAATTAAGATGGGATAAATGAGTACAAATGGGTTTAAGTATGTGTGTTTGAGTTTAGTATATAAACGAGGTTGAAATAGGAAGTGTTTAAGTTGAAATGAAGTATTTTTCGTGCTGAAAATGTAATTCTGGGCTAGGGGAATCGGTACCCATTCAAGGGGAACCGATACCCCTTCAAGCGAATAAAATTTCTAGAATGTCATGGGGGAACCGATACCCCCACAGGAGGGAACCGATTCCCCCTAAAGGAAAATTGTAAATATTGGTTTAATAAGTTCGTTTAAGTTGCTAGTATCAAATTACAAGGTGTAGGTATCTAATAATTGTCTTAAAATGTATAATTATGTAGATTCAGAGCCTAAACGAGTTCCGGAATCATTGACAAGTAAGATCGATAAAAAGGGAAGATAAGAGATTGGAATGGACTAGTGAGGCCATGTGAGTGCATACAAGTTAGTTTATGATGTTTAATGGAAATAAGACTTGCGACGAGTCTATTTCCTATATTATAATGCATTAATTTATGATCATAGGTATATGTTTGATTTGGGTATATGTGATATATATTACAATATGTGTTAAATGATTGTGTGAATACATGTATTATGATAAGTATAGGAATTAATATGAATGGTCTATATGATTGCATGTGAATGTGAAATAGGTTATATGATAAGTGACCATACATGTTAATAGTATAAGTGATCAATTATAAGAATTAATATAATAGATTTATATGACTACATGAGAAAGGTGATGAGTTAAATAAGATTAGACTATAGAGTAATATGAGAATAATATATTAGTGAAGGGAATTGAGTATAAATGATGATACCAAACCATAAAATAAGTATTTACTTATAGGATAATATGATATTATATGAATATAACATGTAACTTTATGAGGAAGAATTGGGTGTTATATGATTTAAGTATGAAAATGATCTATGCGTAAGTAAATTACGTGATTATGTGACTATGTGTGAAATAGAGTAAATTAGGTAAGTATAAGGTATGTAAATATATGGCTATGGAACAAAGTATGTAGTAATAATAATACAATGTTATTTGATTTATGATTTTGATATGTGCATGGATACATGAAATGGATATAGGTTATTATATATGTTACATGATTATATGCATGTGTGATATGTGCTATGAGACATGCCATTGTGAAATGAAATAAGCCAAGTGACTATATGAAATATGTGATTGTAAGATCAATGATAACATGTACATGTGGTACGTGACAGAAAGGAAATGATATGAATAAGTGAAGTGAACTGTTATAAATGTCAATGCCCATGTTATGTGTCATGAGAGCTAGGGGTATAGTTGGCATGCCAAGAGTCGAGGGTCTATGTGGTCCTTCGGGACATATATGTATTCTTTGGAACATGTGTGAAGTCTAGTGAGACACATACTTGATCCTTGGCATATGTATATGATTCTTAAGGAATGATATGTGGTCCTTCGGGACATATATGTATTCTTTGGAACATGTGTGAAGTCTGGTGAGACACATACTTGATCCTTGGCATATGTATATGATTCTTAAGGAATGATATGTGGTCCTTCGGGACATATATGTATTCTTTGGAACATGTGTGAAGTCTGGTGAGACACATACTTGATCCCTAGTATATGTATATGATTCTTAAGGAATGATATGTGGTCCTTATGGACATTATTATATGGCACTACGGTGCAATTCTACGCGGCACTACGGTGCAATTCTATGTGGCACTTCGGTGCATTTATATGAGATGTGGTGACAGCATTAGTGCACAACCTCCATAAACTCACATATCTATAGTTCTCACATATGTACATGGGCTAATCAAGAGATATAAACAAATATATGTTAGTGATATGATAAATGTATTACAAATGATATGATGTTGTGTGTATATAGTGTTTGATTGAAAAGGTTAAGCATAAAAGTATGTGATTACATGATAAACTGCTAATGATGATTTATGTGTATGTATTTATTTATTGTTAATTAATCTGATATGATTTTACATGATATGAGGAAATCATGTAATTTGGTATAGCATGATAGAACAAAACATGCATATATTGATATATGTTATAAAGTGCATTATAAGTTTTTATGCCTCACTAAGTCATAGACTTAGCGTGTGATTGCTTCACACGTAGGTTACAGAAGCTAGAAGAGAAGCGAAGAAGAGTAATACAGGTCAGCATCTCCCTTACAATATTTCATATCAGAAAATAGATGAGTTAAATGATTTTTGTTATTTTGAATATAGTTGGCATGTACTAATTGATTGAATTAAATATGCTCTGATCGATTTTGGTTTTTTTTGTGGTCAATTTATGTAAATAAACCACTTTTACTTTAATGAAAGCTTTAAAGTTTCTTGAATTTGGTCAAGAGTTCAAAGTTTGAAAAGTCAATGTGACATCTTAGACTCGTATCTGGGTCGGGTACGGGTTGGGGGTGTTACATTATTACCACAGGTGTCGCTTGAAATCCGGCCAAATATTAACATCCCCTTGAGCCAGTTAATAAACACATGAATCACAAGAAACACATAATCATCTTGATATTTTAAATAAATCAATTTTTTATATTTTAGTTTGCATGGAAACCTTATGAAAACTATATTGTTTTCAAATCAGCAATCACCAATGTGTAGTGAACACAATGCACTCTATTAGACTTTCATAATAATTCAAATAATATTCAATGATGAAAAACATCCAAACCCATGAAAGCATAATACGACAACAATAAAGTTGTAGCAATTTAGAGCCTCGGGGATCAAGTCACCGACATGCCTTAATCACCGATAAAGTTAAAAAAATAACAGCCACATAAAAATATAAATAAACCCTAAATGTTATGCAATCAAAATTTATAAGAATCACACTAAAATTTTATACGGAAATTTAATCCTATAAAACATCAATTTTTTAAAAAAAATAGTTGATTCTCAATAATTTCAAACGATGAGGTTATGATGTCACTTGTTAGAATCAAATCGTGATAAATATGAAAATTAACAGAATCTAATCATGTCAAATCGCTAAAAATAAATACTATTTTTGGAAGCATACCTGAATTAATTGATATGTTGAAATCTTTGAGTCTTTCTTTGGTTGTGATCTTCTAAGAAGATATGTTTGCTCTTGCATTAAAAACTCTCTGACGGATATAAGAATAATACAAGTTGTAGATTAGTGAAACCGTTAAAACAAGGCTGTGATGTACGAGCATCCTTAAATATCGGGTGTGGATGAGGTGAAGGTTGCATGGTCTTAATCTTCTTTTAACCTTTGGTTTTAGCAACTTGTTTTGTCCTCTCGGTTAAATGGCTAAGACTGGTTTATTGTATTTCGGAACATTTAGATTTTTCGCTGAACTGCAAATTTTATTCTTGAGCAGGAGAGAGACATTTAACCATCTAGCAAGTTGGTTGAAGGATGCACGGCAGCATGCAAATCCAAACCCGACAATCATGTTCGTCGGGAACAAAAGTGATCTTTCTCACAGGAGGGCTGTTAGCAAAGAAGAGGGCGAACAGTCTGCAAAGGAGAATGGTCTTTTCTTCTTGGAAGCATCTGCTAGAACAGCTCAAAATGTTGGGGAGGTAAGTATTGCCCTCCCTAATTGGTACATTGTATTGTTTATATCTAGCACTATTGTTTTAGTTAGACTCGAGAATGAGTGATGGACAAGGTATGCTTACTTTTCGAAGTTCTTCAGTATAGTTTGAAAATCATACCCCCCATACGATGATCGAACATGTCGGATACAAGAATTTTGGTTCATTTACTTTTAAGGAAAATGAATGTCAGAATGACATTGCATAAAGAACGGTTTTAACTAAAATTCGGAATCTTCTAGGCCGTCATAAAGACTGCACTACAACAAAATTGTTCTACAGTGACGTTTTGATAGTAAACGCCTAACTTTAAACATATAGCGGCGTTTCCATTCAATATGCCGCAATAGGGTTTATATATAGTGACGTTTTTTCAACAAACGTCGTAACAGATAGTACTTTAGCAGCGTTTTTATAAAAATGCCGCAATAGGGTTTATATATAGTAGCGTTTTTACAACAAATGCCACAACAGTTAAGTACTTTAGCGGTGTTTTTTCAACAAACGTCGCAATATAGATGTATAGCATTATTTTTAGCGGCTTTTTTATCAAACTCTACAAAATACTCTTATTTTAGTGGCATTTGTATACAAACGCCACAACAGAGTAGTACTTTAGTAGCGTTTTTCAACAAACGCCGCAATAGAGTTGTTAGCGACATTTTTTGATCAAATGCTGCAAAATACTCTTACTTTAGTGGCGTTTGTATACAAACGCCGCAACAGAGTAGTACTTTACTGGCGTTTTTAACAAACGCCGCAATAGAGATGTCATTTAGTGGCTTTTTTAATAAACATCGCCATAGTGATGTACCTTAGTGGCGTTTTATTATAAATGTCGCGATTGTGCAATCCTTTAACCCATCGGGTTCCAAATCCCTATTTGTTTCATTCAAAATTTCATAACATTCCTTACAAACGGTAGGAACCCCTACGAAGTCACCCCCGGGCAACCATCATCACAAGCGCAGCATCACGCAGTCATTGCCTGTTTCCTGTCAGCAACAGGTATGTCTCTCTTCTCCGTCGTCGTCGCCTATTGTTTGTGGATTTTTCTTGTATCGCGCAAATGCTATTTGTGTTATGTTGTTAGTGCTATTCGTGTTTTTCTTGAATCCAAAAAGGGTTTGAGATAGCTTCATTGTAAGATTTAGGCTCAACTAAACGAGACGTAGAAGAAAGAAACAATTGAGTAAAGGAAGGTGAGAATATGAAATATAAAAGAAAATAGGGTATGTACCTGGAAGTCGAGTAGAAAATAGGCTCAACTAGGCTCTTTCCTGACTCTAACAGATTGTCTAGGAATCAAAACCACATCGTCAACAAGGATTGATCAGAAACAGTAGACTCAAGATAAGGAGTAGGATCACTAGTTGAGGCCCGTGGGGAAGGACAAACCGATTGAGGTTGAGAGGGAAAAAATCGAGGAACATAATTCAATAAAAAGACTTTGAATATGAAGAAGTATTATCAACAACTGAATGAGTAGATGGTGAAAGAGTTATTATCAAGAAATCAGAGTCATGAAAAGTCGATTGTAAGGGAAAAAACAAAATCATTGGGAACAGAAAACTTAAAAGGAAAATGATCTTCATGAAACCTAACATTTCGGTTAACAAAGAACTTATTGATCTCAAGATTAAAAGGGATATACCCTTTTTGCATGGAAGAATATCCCATAAACATAGATGGTATGGCTTTGGGAGAAAATTTGTCACTATAATTCACCTGTAATACAGGCAACCAAAAACACACATATGGGAAAGGTTGGGAGTTTTTTATGCAAGGTTTCAAAAGAACTTTTCCAAGTTAGAACAGCAGAAGGAAGCCTGTTAATAATGCAACAGGTTGTACTAACGCACTCTCCCTAAAATTTAACTGAAAGATTTGATTGAAAAACAAAGAGGTCGAGCTACCTCTAACAAATGTTTCTGTTTTCTTTCTGCAACATCATTTTGCTGTGGGGTTCGAACACAAGATATATGATGAATAATTCCAAGTGAATTAAAGAAAGTAGAACATTCGAAATTGAAAATTTTGATTAAGTTTGAACAGAGGCATAAAACTGCTTAAGGAAAAGGACATCATCTGTTTTGAGCCTCAACAAGAAGATCCAAGTCATTCGAGAAAAATCATCAACGACGGTAAGAAATAATCTATGACCACTATGTGTGGATATAAGATAGGGACCCCATAAATCCAAATGGAATAACTCGAAAGGCTTTTCAGATCGTAAATTACTAATAGGGAAGGGTAACCTAGACTGCTTTGCTAAAGGACATATAGAGCACTTATGTATGTCATCATCTTTTATCTTAACAGAATGCAAAAAATGAACTTTTGCTAAAGTTGAAGACCTAGTCTTGCATGCTAGACTTTTGTTTTATTAAAGGAACTTGAAGTACTACAGAAATTCAGGTAAAAGGTTATGCTACAATTAAGCTCTTTTGTATCGAGCAAATGTTATTCGTGTTCTTTGGATTCAAGAAAAATCTCATACTCAATTGTTCATTTTCATGCTATTCGTGTTCTTTGTGGGTATATTGTTCAAGTCTATGGCTAAATGATCGACTGGCTGTTAATAAGCTTGTTAGTAGTTTGACAAAGGGAAGTGTTCGCTCACCATTAGCTCAATATCACTTGATACGTTATACTAGTCAGGTATACACCATCTCCAATATGTTTGCCCATCATTCTTCCTATTGATACGTCATTCTCCGCTCACCATTATCTTTTCTCCCATTTTGGATGTTTTCACCTTACTTGGTCACTGCAAAAAAAATGTACTAATATGCACTTTACATGTTTCATATATCAGTGTAATATAAGCAATTTTTTGCTGAATTTTACTGAATTCTATAATGTATCACTTTTTTAACATATGCTGGGTGGAAATGTTCTTGCCTCATTATTATTGAGTTAAATTACATACTTAACTTGGGGGACTACTAGGGTCCAATAAGAGATTTATGAGATATGTAACTTGACATAATCTTTTATAGTTGCTAATCTGATACACATTTTATAGAGACATATCCTTAGTGTAGCTTGTATGTGCAGCATGAATGATGATACTAAATTTACTCTCATGTGTTAGGAGCAAATCGATATTTAGTGTTTTCTCTTATTCTATCATTGAGTAGTAGTTTCCATAGGCAAAATAGTGTTTTCAGAAATTGAACAGCAAAATTAAGCTAAATCTGGTTTCAAACGGTATGTAATGTTGTACTGAACATTGACTTCTAGATGTGGGATATGACATAACAATATAGTTAGATTTTATATTTTAATTGATTAATTTATAATGTTATCATTTACATGTTGATGTCGTCGAATATATATATTAATAGTATTGTTGTCGGTAGTTACTAATATTGTTGTTTGTTTATTGCAAATATTATGCCTATGAGAAAATTAAATGATATGCGTATTGTTCGAGCTCCTTAAGAGGGGAAGAAACAAATAATGAAGAGTCGATTGGTGTTGGATCTACATAACTTCCGAATACAATTGAAGAAACTGTAGAAATTGAAGGTAATGTTCGACTCTTTATTTAAATACTGACTGATTTTCTTATTGACTTTATTTTGAAAACATCCATAAAATTATTTCTTATGTAGTTAAAAATGGTCAGAGGCACAAGAGTATAGGTCGTACGATAATGAAGGAATTGTATCAACTTCCTCTTTGGGACTGCGTGAGAGTTTCAAGTAACGATGTCGGTCAACCTATTAGGACAGAAGCACATGTTCTATCAAGTTACCTAGACATTATTGCACCTAGTCATCGAAAACATTTTCTTTAAACTAAAAGCTTACTGTCTTTTACTATCTAAAATATCAATGAGACTTCAACTCAGTATAAAAGTCTGTAGATGTCTAAATCAATAAGGAAACATATGCTTATATGTTATTTGCATGTTCTTCAGCATCTGGTAGCACTGTATTACTAAACTTCACAAAACTCACTCATTTACTTACCATTTTAGGTTAAAAGGATCAAACTAGTGCAATTATCGACATCAGTAAGAGAATTCTACCGACGTTGCTTGGTGAGTACGGTGCATGTGAATAAGAGGCATATAGTTTGTTTTTTATTTTTACATTTGAATCTGAAATATGTTTTATTTCAGAATATTGTTAAATTTTACTTTTGTATTTATAAATTGTTTTTATGATTTTACATGTTTTAACAAAAAAAATAATTTTTCCGAGATTTTTACGGTAGGTCACTACGGTGGTCCTAATGTGACACCTCAGATCAGATCGGATCACTCACATCAGTATGTGGGTGTTACAATTACCGTCCCCCAAGTCCGATAGCAAATCTAGATCGCAAGTTGTTTAATGTTCGAGTAATGATTTGCAATCTCGGATCATCTTCGGGTGTCTCTCGTTCCTACACAATCGACAAAATAAATATTAAATTTAATTGTTGAGCAGTTTAACCAAACTACTATATGAATCACTTACTTTTAGGCTATTGTAATAAGCTTCCACTGCAGCAAGAGAGGGAACTACATTACGAGCCTGCATTAGGTCCCATATATAGTTTGCGTTTGTGTATCCACCCGTCTGTGTCGGAAAACATATCAAGTTATGCATATTGAACGATGACAGTCCCAAAAATGTCTAGCAACTTAAGTATTTGCTTACCTTCTCACCCGCGGCTGCAAGGAAGAGATCACTTCCGAATTTAGCGTTCAAGAGAAAGTTTCTTTTAGTCATATTGACCTGCACATTCGAACCAAAGAAAACCATAGGATTTAACATGACTAAAAAAAATCAGGATATCTGAAAGTTAACGAGTCAACCAAGATGCGTCATACATACCAATGCTTCTTGAGCAAGTTCCATTCCTCTAGGAGTGTAACCCACTATTGCTCCCTGAAGAAGGTCTGCAAACAAAGAAATTGCAGTAACTTAATAATTATCCGACTTCACCTAGATTGAACTGCATACCATTAATCATATAAAAACATTCAGACAAGCATCTTCTATGTTGTTCCAACTCTTCATTTTTCTTCAAATATTCACCCTATAAATACATTAAAAAGCTTAGAAAATTTTGAAGATACCTGTTCCGGACTTGTACTCATATCGAAAAATAACACACAAGTCCAAGTTACATAGTGTCGTAACCGGTTTTCGTCCGGGCACGAATTTTTTTATTTGGCGGAAAAAGTGGTGTGAATAAATGGTTTTTAAAATAATTTGGGAGTCGCCATCAGCCTTTTGGGTCAGGTAGGTTGAATACCTAAAAATCATCCTTTAAAAGAGTTTTTAAGAAAACATCGATTAAAAGATAAACTGATCTGCGTTTTAACCAAAAATTCGTTCTTTTTAATAATAAAAAGGGATTCGTGGTCGGTTACGTTTAGGGAAGGATTAACACCCCTACAACGCCCAAAATTGGTACTTTTTAATTAAAAATTGTCTCTATTATTAGAAATTAAAAATTCAAAATATATTTAATTTATAATCCTATTATTTTAAGTTTATTAATATAATTTTAAGAAAATATATTAAAATATATGTATGTATATATATATTTATAAATAAGATATTTATTTACTTGGAAATATCAGAAAAGAGTTTTTAGGTACCTTAAGACAACTCTTTTCTTTGATATTAAAAAATAAATAAATAACTAAAACATTTAAAAAATTTATTTTAATATAGTAAGATATTTATTTATTTAAAAATATTTAGAAAAGGGCTTCTAGTTGCTTTAAGACAGCTCTTTCCTTCAACATTAAAAAATAAATAAATAACAAAAATATTTTCTTAAAATAATAATAGAATAAAATTTAAACATATATAGTTCATAAATAAGATTTTTATTTCATAGAAAACAAAATAAATAAATATTATTTATTATATATTTATATGACTAAGATAATAATAAAATAATAATTGAAGCAATAATTGAAATATAAAAGTAATAATAAAATAATATTGAAAATAAATAATGATTAAAAGAAATTAAAATTATAAAATTAAATTGTAAAGTATATAAAATAAAAATTATCGAACTATTATAAAATAAAAAAAACATTAAGGACTAATTATGGTATTGGCCCTAAATATATATAGCTAAAATAATTCAATGCAAAAGCAGAGATTTGGTTTACACGATTGAGGGTAAGTATACTTTTCCATTTAATCAACATCAAAAGTCTTATAATAAAACAAAAACACTTTTTCAACTACAACTATTTTAAAATTAATACGTGATTTAAGGAAAAATATATAAGTAACTATAATTTAAAGTATTGGAACATATAGTGTAATAAAAAATTAAAATTGCAATTTAAAAGTGACTAAAACAAATAAAAATTAAAACAACAGGAATAAAATGTAAAATATCAAAATTTAATGAACATAATTCAAATTATTATAAAATTATAATTACTAATAGTGTAATTAGCCCCTAATTACTAATATGTGATTAAAATAAAACTTAATTAAAATTAAAAGCTTTAACAAAAAAAATAAAAAATATAAGTGCTAATAATGTAATTTAGCCTTATTAATTATTGAGAATTTAAACTGAAATTTATCAAAACATGAGGGACTAAATCTAGTATTTAATCTAAAATATATGTATACTGGTATGGACTAAAATACGATAAAATAAAATTCGAATATAATATTAATATGTTCATAAATTGATTTCAGTGGCTAAAATGGAAGTTTATAAACTTCAGGTGACTGTGCGTGTAGTTTAACTATTTTGAAATTACATCCAGACCCCTCATCAAAACGACGTTTTGATGAGGGTATAAATAGCCTAAAAACCGGTTCCCTTGAGCCATTTCTTTCATTTTTCCATTTAAAATAAAATTATTTAATAATAATAATAAAATAATTATAATTATAATTATTATAATAAAAATAATAGAACCGGGATAAAAATTTAGTGTCTTCAGCTGTCCCTCTTTGCCCATTCTTGTGTTAACAAGAATAGGGCAAAGACGAAAAGACAATAAATTTTTATTCAGTTGATTTCTCTTAATTAAGAGGGCAATGTTGAACAAGTTCATCTCATTATGAACTCTTTCACTGGGGATGACAATTCATCTCCTTCTGTGATGTAATCTAGCAAAAGGTTTGAACAAGTTCTTCTAATTATGAACTTCTTCTGGAAATGGTGATCCTTGAAAGAGGTGTCATTGATTCAACTTCATATGTGATAAATTAAGGCAAGGTTGAACAAATTCTTCTCATTATGAATTTCTTCTCCTTCTTCAGATGAGTTCTTCTCATTATGAACACTTCTGGAAATGTTGATGTTGATCTATCTCCTTCTGTGATAGAGTCAAACAAAGGTTGAACAAATTCTTCTTATTATGAACTTCTTCTTCCTCTTCAGATAAGTTCTTCTCATTATGAACTTTCTCTGGAAAAGTTAATTCATCAAGTGATGAATTCAGGCAAAAGGTTGAACAAATTTTTCTCATTATGAATTTCTTCTTCCTCTTTAGATAAGTTCTTCTCATTATGAACTTTCTCTGGAAATGTTGATCTATCAAGTGATAAATTCGAGCAAAAGGTTAAACAAGTTCTTCTCATTATGAACTTCTTCTTCCTTCTTCAGATGAGTTCTTATCATTATGAACACTTCTGGAAATGTTGATCCATCAAGTGATGGATTTGAGCAAAAGGTTGAACAAGTTCTTCGCATTATGAACTTCATCTTCCTTCTTCAGATGAGTTCTTCTCATTATGAACTTTCTCTGGCAATGCTAATCCATCGGGTGATGAATTAAAGCAAAAGGTTGAACAAATTCTTCTCATTATGAACTTCTTCTCCTTCTTCAGATGAGTTCTTCTCATTATGAACTTCCTCTGGAAAAGTTAATCCATCAAGTGATGAATTCAGGCAAAATGTTGAACAAATTCTTCTCATTATGAATTTCTTCTTCCTCTTCAGATAAGTTCTTCTCATTATGAACTTTCTCTGGAAATGGTGGTCCATCAAGTGATGAATTTGAGCAAAAGGTTAAACTAGTTCTTCTCATTATGAACTTCTTCTTCCTTCTTCAGATGAGTTCTTCTCATTATGAACACTTCTGGAAATGCTAATCCATCGGGTAATGAATTAAAGCAAAAGGTTGAACAAATTCTTCTCATTATGAACTTCTTCTCCTTCTTCAGATGAGTTCTTCTCATTATGAACTTCCTCTGGAAAAGTTAATCCATCAAGTGATGAATTCAGGAAAGTTGAACAAATTCTTCTCATTATGAATTTCTTCTTCCTCTTCAGATAATTTCTTCTCATTATGAACTTTCTCTGGAAATGGTGGTCCATCAAGTGATGAATTTGAGCAAAAGGTTAAACAAGTTCTTCTCATTATGAACTTCTTCTTCCTTCTTCAGACGAGTTCTTCTCATTATGAACACTTCTGGAAATGTTGGTCCATCAAGTGATGGATTTAAATCTTTGCTAAAATCTTTGAAGTTCTTGTCAAATATTCAACATGGGAAAAATGAATGAAAATGCACCTATTTTTGCAAATGCCTAAATATGATGCATGAATGTTAAGTTCATCTTTATTTGATTTCAAAGTGGTGAACTCGGTCTTCCTTCACTTTGGTCAAAATTTCATTTCAAGCTGGCATTTCTGATTTGGAAGAGCAATCTTTGTGTCTTCATTTCTTTATTTGCATCAAAGTCTCAGAAGAAAATGTTTCATTTATGGAACTCTTGTCGAAGTCAGAACTATGACCTTGATGCCCCATTTTGTCTTGGATAAAACCAACTTTCTCTGCTTGGACTTGTGCAGAAATTCAATAAAGCTTTCATCTTTGAAAAGAGAATCTATCATCTTTGAAGAGTATAGATGTAGATATGTCAAACACTGCAGAGGTTAATTAGGAGAGTAGAGTCTGTTCTGATTTGACTCTTGAAACACATCACAAGGAGGATTTATCCTAATTCCTTTCATGTCTTCACATCTAATCAGATCTCGAATAAGACAACTTGGACCATATCATGTCGAGATGTTTAACAACATCCTGTCGTTCAACATTAGTTGGCTCCACTAGTTTCTTGTTGTTAAAATTTCTGTTTCCCTTCAATGGAAAGAAATATTCATCATGTCTCACTTTTGACCTTGGGGTTGAAGAAGACAAACTTCATCTTGGATCCATAAATGGAAATACCATATGATTGCAACATTGGTTCAGTACCAGAATAACTGGTTCATAAAATATTTGACAACACATTCATCATCTCATGTGGTTTTTGCTCAGATGTTTGTAAAGTATTTGACAAACATTCATCATTTCTTGTGACTTCTGCATAGATTTCTGGTCAGTGAAGCTCTTTGTACAGTGTTCAAAGCTTTTGTATGATGTCACAAGACCACTTGAAAACAAAAATCAGTGGGAATACAAACGGAATGCTGGCATGACCAAAAAATTGGTCCAATTCACAAGATATGTTAGTGTCGAATTGAATAAGAGATACCAACTGATCTTGATATCATCTTGGGCAAGGGAAAGTGTAATACCGATTATGTTTTCTTCCATAATGAGTGTTATAAGAAATGAAAACACATCAGCTATAGGAGCCATGTATAGAACGATATCCATGAAATTCTTGTCGCTGGGGATGAAACGCCCATGATAAAACCAAAATAGATGAAAACTCCGTTCACCCTGGCTGGCAATGATAACACCAATAACAATGGGAGTAAGGGTAATGTAATCTGAGCCTCTTTATTCAATGTCATCAAGCAAACAACAACTGATGTGAAAAACAACTTCATAACCTCAACATTATGGTTGAAACTAACTGCCAGGAATCTCAAAGAAATATTTTCAATCATCACCGACACACAAAATACAAAATTCAAAGCCAAGATTTTGAGGAATTGAACCCTGGATCGACTGGTTTGCCTGAGGACCATCTTTATTCATGCAACCATGATGTAGATTAACAAAGAACACACTGTCATGTGACACATGGTTAAGAAGACCCTGATATAACTGCCTAATGAATGAAGCAATTA